TCCTTGACAATATCTATTCCACATGGTCTTTCTTTTCCATTTCCACTGCTACTACTTGGATTAAATTCTGATTACCCCTTACCTAACACCTCCTACAATCTTCTGAGCTCCCTGACTCCTCATTCCGTTTCTCTAATGATAAACGTTCACACATCATTGCTAGAGCGATTTCCCTAAAGTAAAATTGCTTCAAACAATTAGCACTTCCTACCCTCTCCAAGACCTCTACCATATTCCTAGGGAAATACTCATTTTCTATCAATTGGCTTTTCTAGAAATACCTTTTAATTCTTTCTTTACCTATCCAAATTCTACTCATCTTTCAAAACCTCAAATAATCCCTCCTATATTCTGTATGTACTTCTCAGTACTATAGAACCCTGATTAAGAAGTAATGATTTACTCTCCTGGCAGTTATCACTTTTACCTGGCAGTGTTGGTTATCATTACTCATATTACTTATATACATACCTTATAGATACAACTATAAACAGAGAATGGGGACCATGTTCTTTGTTTTCTGATTCCTCCTTTGTGACTTGCTGTTACATAGTTTAACAAGGACCAAAATAAGTAATATCTTGTAAAACAAAAATAAGTGCTCTGGGGCCTTAAACTAGGAAGGAACATATTCTTAGAATCAAAGAAATATAGATCAGGGCACCTGGGTGGCTCAGTTAAGCACCTGACTCTTGATTTTGGCTCAGGTTATGATCTCAGGGTCATGAGATTAAGCCCTGCATCAGGCTCCACACTGGGAATGGAGACTGCCTAAGATTCTCTCTCTCCCTCTCCCTCTGCCCCTACCCACTCCCCTCACCCCCACACTAGTGCACCTGCACTCACTCTTAAAAATATATACGTATTTTTTAATATATCTATATATACTATTAAATATTAAACTATTTTATTTTAAAGTATTTTTAATTTTTAAAAATATTTTAAATTTTAAAATATTTTAAATAAAAAATTAAAGTTTTAAATATTTTTACTAAATTTTTTTTTAAAGACTCTATTTATTTGACAGAGAGAGACACAGCGAGAGAGGGAACACAAGCAGGGGGAGTGGGAGAGGGAGAAGCAGGCCTCTCACCGAGCAGGGAGCCCGATGCGGGGCTCGATCCCAGGACCCCGGGATCATGACCTGAGCCGAAGGCAGACGTCCAACGACTGAGCCACCCAGGTGGCCCTATTTGAAAAATTCTAATATGGTACTGTAATATTTACCAAAGTAACTAGCATTCCAATATTAAAAAACTCATTTCATGGAACAATATACTTAATGTAAGTGGGAGAAGATATATTCCTTGAAGGAGGAGTGTCCTTGGAGTCGTGAGTGATTCTCACGCAGGGAAGTAGAGGACAGGCTCAATCAACTCAACCCAAATGCCAAAATCTAACATTAGAAACTGGGCAGGTGGGAGCAGCTGAAGTTTTCTTGTTTCATTCTCTTCTAAGAACTGAAGTTAGAGAGGTGTTAAGAAACTTGCGACAAAGGTGCTTTTAATTTTGAAGTCATCATACCAGGGCACTGCTCTTGCCTTTCCTTTGGTGAATGCCTCTGTGCTGCAAAACTCACTCGTTAAGAAATTCTTTTCAGGTTAATTGTATTTTCTCCTAGTGAGATTTGCCCTTTTAAAAGGAAACAATTCATATCACAGTTCTAGAAGCACATACTCATTTCCCTTAATTTTCTCTCCTCTGTTCATATACGTGTGTGTGTGTGAGTGTGTGTGTGT